GGCTGAAATACTGACACTCAGTGGCTGAATGCCTCCTAGCTATAGGAAATCTGCCGAATTGAGGTTTTCTTATCTGTCAAATCCAGCTCTTATGAAGAAAGGATCACCCTTCGAAACGCGTTAGGTTTTATCTCCCCTTTGGATGGAATTTGCATGTGACCTGTAACCCTGTGTAGACTATGGTTATTTTATGCCTGTTTTATTGCTATTCTTGTGAGTATATTTCTTTAATAAAATTATTCATTGTTTACTGAGGTAATGCGCAAGGTTGGTGCGCTCTCTTTTATCCTCTTCTACAATTTTATCAAGCTTTCCCAGCTTCATGATAGAGCTGCACAACCTTTGATCAGCATTGGATGAACACACTATTCGTTAAATAATCTTCCTTTGGTCTGAGTCCTTGAGTGCAGGAGATAGTGGATGTGTGTTGACTGTTCGAAAAACAATATACTCAGAATAAAGGAAAGATCAAAATTCCAGTGTAGTTTCACTTTATTAAACAGTTTGCAAATCATTCCAATAGCACTTTATATAGATATTCCAAGAATAATTCAGGAATCAACAAAAATGTAATTGGTTAACATTATGTAGATGCACATGACAGCTATACATGACATAAATTATCTAATATATAGAAAACAATGTTAAGATTATTTAATAATTAGGTACACAGTAGAGAGGTGTTAGTAACTCACCTTACATGGGGCAGACAAATGAAAGAAGAGTTCTGATTGGTTGCTGAACACCACTGCTTGTCTGCATGTTAGAAAATAAACACCTATTTCTGGAAAGTAGATGAATATAAAAGTACTAGTGCAAATGACCACAATGTAAAGCAGGATTGCCACTGAATATAGTAAGTTGGTAGTTCCTTCTCTCAGGAAGCGATCTTACAAAATTAACAGTCTTGTGTTGTAATGCATGGCTACATATGTCTGTGGCAACATGGTATATACTCCATGGAGCAACGTTCTGCATACTGTGGTTAAGGCATGAACGCCAAGGGTTATTTAAAAAACATAAATAAATAAATGCCTATAGATTTCAGTAGAAGTTTTCTTGTATTTGACAACCAGCATTAGAAAACTGAAAGTGGGAATCTAATCTGATTTTTTTTTTCATAAATCACTCAGCATTTTTTTACCTAAATGTCCTTAAACACTGAGCTATCCCTTAACTCTTTATGTCCTTTCAAAACTTAACCCATACTTTACCATTAACCCTCCCCTGAACACTTAAAGTGAAAGTCCCTGCCACTATGGCTTAATCCCTGCCTGCACTCTCCTTACCTCCAAGCATTTATATTGGTCCATTACTGTGATAGGTTGCCTTGGTGGCCATCATAATAATTGTTTAGGAGGCAGAATGGGCAAAGAAAAAACTTAAATATGAATTTTAATGCCTAAACCCAAACCACAACCCTCACTAATTTAACCAAACCACTGCCCCATCTCTAAATTAAACATAGCAGCAGGACATTTTTTTTCACATGAAACATCTCCTTTAAAAAGTACCAGTCCTGCAAAAATATTTGAACACTGACAATATCTGTGACTTTTTTAGTTATAGATGCTATTAAATTATACACCAGATTATCACTATTCATCATTTCCAAACACTATATACAAGTGGCTAAAATAGTGTATTGTACCTTAGCCAATGGTTCACACATATGTGATTTTTGTTGCGTTACCAAGCACACAGATTCACATGACAGTGCACATAAAATCTGTTCCTATGGTGCTGGTTCACATAGATGCCATTCCAGTGGACTGCGTTTTGTCTGCATTTGAAAAAAAGTTCCTGTGCGAGTTTTATTTGATGCATTTGAAATTTACAGCCCATGGTGTGTAATGACATTTGGAGCAAAGTGCTCATATATCAGATGCGATTCTGATGAGTGTTTGTATAGCAGTGGAGGAGATGCTGTTCTGCCTGTTTTGAAAAATCGCATGTGGTAAATTTGCATTAAAAACACAAGGGTATACACAAACAATCACATCCTTGAATCACACTGCAATTTCAACACGTATATATGGGAACCCAGGCTAAAGTGAAATTAAATCAGGAGCTTTCATCTTTTCCCGGTCTTCTTTCCATGTTTGGTCTGTTAAGCCACTTGAATGGCTGGGCCATGACGACGTCACTGTGAGTCACATTATTATGGCACAAAGGGGTGCTGTAAATGTATGCTGAACTGCAAATGTGTGGCTCAGTGCAAATTACTATGGAGTGGAAGGGAGATGCATTTATGACAGAAGAGACTAATAGGATTGTGATCCTTTCCCCAGTCAGGAAGTTTGGTGGGTTTTTTTTTTTTTTTTTGCCACCCAACAAGACCTCATATTTGCAAACAATTAGATCAACTCAGACACTGCCTGTAGAAATGCAAAAGTTAGTAACCAATCAACAATGGGCATGGGTAAGCATGGAAGTGCTTACTAATGCTCACAAAGATGTTCCAAAATGGGAAAAGAATACAAGTTTCATTCCTCATAGACTGGTGTTCAGTTGGGGAGCAGCAACTTTGAGGTGGCCGAACAATATGAACGCATGGGCACCACCCAGGTGTACGGGGGGCCCATAATAATCCTGCATTATATATACTTACTTTGCAAGGACAGTCACAGGCTTTTACTAAGCTGTCCTGGGTTCTGAGCCTTGGTCTGATATGATGTAATCACCTGGAATGGACAGTAGGGGAAGACTGGCAGAGATTGAAGCACAGCAGCCATAAAATGCTTAGTCTTAGATGATTCTTGCTGAACCACTGCAGAGCACAAGGCACAGCACAGGAAACTGCCAGAGGAAGGTAGAAGGGGGAGACTTCATTACGGATTGTATGTTTAGCCCTCTGACAGCATGCTTGAACAGATATGATCTGTGCCAGCAGCTTCCCTGTACTCATCTGCTTGAGGAAACTGCTTCTGCATTGTAGACTACTGTCCCCTGTACTGTGCCCTACTAACCTCCACACTGTGCCCTCCTGACCCACCACAAAGTGCTCTACTGACCCCTGCAGTGTGGCCACTTGTGCCACCCACACTGTGCCCTATTACCCACTGTATTGTTTCCTAGTGGCATGATCTTGTTCCTTAGACTTGATTCTCCATTTTCCAGCAGGATATACTGCACGCAGTGGTGCACTCATATGCCAATGTAAACTAAATATAGGTCTTTAACCGTGCCCTTTAGTACTCTTTATAGAAGACGCCAAAGACAGTTGAAGCCACAGAGACGTTTGACCTAATTAACGTTACAGCCACACCAGGGTGAGAGTATATGTCCCAGAAAGCTCCTAGACAGCATGGAAGACTTGACAGGGGAACTAAGACCTGCCCCAGTACACCCAAAAAAAGAGAAAGTAAAATTTATTTTCATTGAGCACATTTTCTGAGTTCTTATTGCAAAATGTACTTTATGGTATTTTTTGGTGTGATTTTTATAAGCTTTTATTCTTGCTTTTCTATATTCTTGTTACTCTATCAATATTGTGATTTGTAGATTAGCCACTGGAGCAAGCAAACAATCAATTTGCAATAAGTTGATCTCTTCTCCTAATAAGGCCCCTTTCACGTTGGCTGGATATGTTTTTTTTCTCAGCAGGGAATCTGTCTGCTGATCCCCTACTGAGCTGAGTGAAGCAACAGCATGACAGGTCCCTGTCATGCTGAGTGAAGCAACAGCATGACAGGTCCCTGTCCAGTCCGCTTATGCAGAGTGGACATGGACACAGTCCGCCCTGCTCTATGAGCAGTCTGATGTAAACAGACCAGCTGTCCATTTACATCTGACTGCCCTCCAATCTGATCTGGCGAGACGGAGGGGAATGCATCCCCTTTCGTTTCTTTTTTTTTGCAGGATTGGGTGTAGGGAGGTGTAAATGTGTACATCCGCTGCTCCATACAGGAGAATGGAGGGTCCGCCTGAAAAATGTACAGACAGGTCCGATTGGGCGCCTTGTATGATCGGTGCCCTAATGGTTTAAACTAGGTATTTGCTAGACAGAGAGTTCATTGCTTTCAATGTGTTGGTCAGCTCAGACTTGTTCTGTGAGAAGAAGCAGTTAAGCATAACAACTGTCTAGCACTTCCAGGAAAGTAGCAGAGCTTGTATATGTAATGTTACAATATGTGTGTTCCCATGCACATATATAAATTGCAGGCTATACATTTGTTAAACCATTAAGACACACTGATAATATTTATGTTAAAGAAATGATGTCACCTTGCCTCTTCAGGTTCAAGTGTCAGTTTCTGTGTAACCCCCCCCAAACACACACACTTTATACTTACCTCTCCAGCACTCCTCAACTACCTCATCTGTGGCCGCCATAGCACCTCCTTTACCTTTCAAACATTCCAAATGGTCCATCATATCTGTGTATGTGGGAACATGTGACCTCCTCCAATGACATCATTGCTCTCTCTAAACTCCCACTGGGCATTTTGGCGGCAATTGCAACAGAGCAAGGAACAACAGATACACTGATGTAGTAAGTATAAAGTAGTTGTTGGTTAGGGCTTTACACAGACTGAATGGCAAGGTGAAAGGGTCTCTGGAGCCTGATATCTACACCTATATCTAAAAATATAATCAGAGGACTTTGCATTCCCTTTAAAGGAAACCTGCCATGGGAGAAACAACATACTGAACTAAATTCCATTAAAGCATTGATATGCACTGATATGGAAGAACATCTGAAAATGAAAAACCTTTCAACAATGCAAGTAATGCTTGGCAAGCTAACTGTACACAGGCTGCACTGAATAACTGACTGTCTAAATGTATATAAACCATTGAGGAATTGTTGGGTTCATATTTTATATAAAAAAAAAAAAAATCTACTTTACTGTCAACAAAAGTATTTTACAAAATCAGAGTGAGCTTCTACAACAAATACAGAGATGCCCAGAGCAGCTGACATGGTTTTTGCTCTCTCTTTACAGTATTTCAGTCCGGTTCTGGTCCTTCAGCTACAAAGGGTCTGATAAGCCACTTCAGACATCATTAAGGTTCAGTCTACAGATAAAAGGAGACCGGAAAGATCCCAGGTATAAATAACCATCATGTTCATGAGCCTCACTGATATAAGTAGCCACCTCACCACTGGGATCGTGAAAACTTCTTTTGTAGGATCCTTTCTCACCAAGCTCTACAACCAGACTGTATCTTGGAACAAACTTCATCACAGTATCTTGACTGAAAATCTGAATGAGCAAAAACATGTTATTAAAAAGTAATTCAACATGTTCTAGGAGTATTTAATAACAATGGTATAAAAACAGTTGAAGTCTGGCTATAGAAAAGAGAAATATATACCAAAATGGAGCCAATTTCTTTAATAGTAATTGCAAAAAAAGATGAATATAAAGTCTAAAGCCATTAACTCCTTTAGGCATGGCAGCACTCCTACAGTGCTATGTTACTCTCATCAGTGGATTGGTTGTTTTTCTTGGCATCCTCTAGGTGTAAAAATTCTGTTGCACATTTTGGGTCATTGATTTCTGAAGATTGTGATGTAAATATACATATGTAACATATTTGTAGCAGACTGCCCATAAAAAAAATGACAGTGGTAATGTGCAAAACTGAGTGAGACATACTATTTTTTTTTTTTTAACTGTTCCTCTGGTTTTCTGCAGTAAATCTCAAATTATAAAGATGTTAAAAAGACCTTACAGGTTACCTGTGACAAACTATTCTACTAGATGACTGGTTACCATCATAGGTTACCTAAGATTAAACAAAAATTTCTTGCAGTACTATAAAGGATGTGGGACTTTAGATGTGCTGACTGCATTAGTGTTTGCTTTTCCAGCTAAGAAAATTTTCAACAAGTACAGAAAAAAGGGCTTGGCAGTAAAATCCATTTCCTGGAGCAGAAAGAAGAAGGGAGTGTGCTATATGATATTCAGGGAAACTGATAAGTCAAAAGTCCTATTTACTTATTCGTACAGTACAGGACATAGGACTTTAGTCTTTAACCATGGAAAGTACTAACTGACTGCTTAAAAGAAGCTGTGATTGCAAGGTAGAATCTCACAGAGAGCAATGTTTTAAGACAATGAAAAGACAATGAAAAGAAATCCCCCCCACCCACCGATGCAATCCCTGTTACATTTTTGAGTGAAACGGAATGTAGTTGGCCGAAAACAGACCTTTAACTGATTTAGTTAGCAGTATTCCTAAGTAAGATATACTGGACTCGTCCCAAGCAAAGGGTAATTGATTCTGTAATATATTTCGAGTGATACCATCTAGACCTAGATCCAATATTACAGATTTACTCTCATTGACTTTGTAGTATGATACTCTACTGAACCATTTTAGAGTACGGTATACCTCAGTCAAAAGAGTAAGATGGGTCGGAAATGAAAAGTATAAAGTCATCAGCAAACAGACTGATTTTGTGAGTGCTATTACCAATAGAGAAGCCTTTTATGTAGGGGTTAGAACGTATATGTTCCGCTAGGGGTTCCATAAGAAGATTAAAAATGAATGGCGATAATGGGCATCCTTGCCTTGCTCCATTAGTTATGTGAGAGGAACGTGATAACATGTTTGAAGTGTAGACTTTAGCTGATGGTGTAGAATAGAGGGCTAGAATTGTGCTGAGGATAGGGCCCTGAAATACAAATTTGAGTAGTACCTAATGGAGATAATTCCAATGAACCCTGTCGAATGCCTTCTCCATGTCCAGAGAAAGAAGCAGAGAAGGCGTTCGAGAGATCTCAGCGTGATATACAAGGTTTATCAATTGTCTGGTTGCGTCCGAGGTTTGACAAAGTTTTGTGAAGCCGGATTGGTCACAATGTATCAGATGGGGAAGAATATTATTCAATCTGGTTGCTATTAGTTTAGCATAGATTTTCAAATCAAGATTCAATAATGAGATTGGCCTGAAGTTTTGCGGAGAGGCAGGTTCCTTCCCTGGTTTTGGTAATCTAATTATGAGAGCTTAAAGCATTTCTGGGGGAAATGATGATGAAGAAGAGACAGCGATGTTGTAAATTAAACACAAATGAGGGGTTAGAACAGAAAGAAATTGTTTGTAATATTCCCCCTGTCAGGCCATCAGGCCCCCGGAGATTTACCAGTTGGAAGAGTTTGAATTGTGGAGATTATTTCTTGTTGGGTGAATGGGGCATTAAGAGAGTTAAATTGTGTTTCAGATAAGGTAGGGAGTTTGATTTTTTTCAAGAAAAATTTTAATTTCGGCTAAAGAGGGTTGGTGTGTGGAATCGTCCAGATTGATATTGTAAAGTGAACTGTAATAGGAACTAAAGGCGTCTGCAATGTGTTGCGGGTTGAAGATTTTGTTATTTGAGGTGGTGTCATAAGAAATGGTATTCTTGATTTAATTCTGTGACCTTTAATTTTACGAGATAATGCTTTCCCTGCCTTATTAGAGGTGGAGTAGAAGGTGGCTTGCAAATTACATTGCATATGTTCGAAGGAATCTAATAGGAGAGGTCTAAGTTCCTGACATAACAATATTAATTTTGTTTTAAGAGTGTGGGTGGGCTGTGCTTTATTCTGGTTTTCAATATTTCTTATAGAGTTTAATAAGAAATCTAGATGTTGTGACAGCTTGCGTTTTTTCCTAGATTCCATTTGTATTAACAAACCTCTAATAAATGCTTTGTGTGAGTTCCATACCACAAAAGGGTCAGGGACTGAATTTGAAATTTGAGTAAAAAATTCAGAAAAATGATTCGAGAGCTTTGTTGCATACTCTGGATGTTGCAATAAGAAATGATTGGCTCTACACACAAAAGGTATTCAGTTGTGAGGGAACGTCTTTAAGCGAGATTGTGATAGGTGCATGGTCCGACCATGTTATGGTATGGATCTCAGACTTATGTACTTTTTGCAATAGCCATTTGTCAATAAGAAAAAGATCAATCCTGGAGTAAGAATTATGACAAGGAGAGAAATAGGTATAGTCACGTTCGCTGGCATGGTGACATCTTCAATTGCCGAATAGACCATTGGCGTGCAGAAAGAATTGTAGATGTGGAATGGCGTTTAGATGTGGCAGATGAATCCAACACGCTGTCCGGTACAATGCAAGTCTCCACAAACGAGTAGATGACCCTGTTGAACTTTTCAATCTTGACGGATAGTTTAGGTGAGGAAGGCGATGGGTTTGTCGTTAGGTGCGTATATGTTCAGCAAGGTATATGGAACGTTGTTAATCATGCAGATCAGAATAAGAAATCGACCATTAGGATCGAGTCTTGATGATGTAACGTGAATGAGAACAAATCCTTAACCGCTATCATGACCCCTCTTTATTTAGCAGTGAAACAGGCATTGTAAACATGGGGTAAATTCTTGTTTTGGCAATATGGTTGGGCTGAGCGGGAAAAATTAGTTTCTTGTACGCATAAGATGTCACACTTGTGGTCTTGTGCAGATTTCCACAGGAAGTTCCGTTTTGCAGGGTGGTTCAAACCTCTGGCATTTATAGGTAAGATTGAGAGTGGCATTGTGAACAATTTGAAGAGTCAAATCAGGATACCAGGGAATAATTTACAGGGTGCTTAGTACCGAAAAAAACGTGTGGTCGATGGCAACTGCAAGACGATGGTAACTAGGAGTTTGAGTTCTACGCACTTACGATCTTTAATTCACTGGAAAGTAGCAAGGAACTGAGTGTGAAAGTCAGTGGATAACTTGAAGAAAAGCAGATAACCGTTTAACAAAACAAGAAGGGTAGAAACTATATAGCAGGAGCACAGATTAGTAGAAAATGAGATGCTACAGATCATTCGGGGTAAAATTTACTGAAACAGTAACTTTGAGCCGTAGGCCAAGGGATATCAATATAGTACAAATGGTAGCCTCAGTGTGAAATCACGGACGATGTCTGCATCTACCAGGTTGCGGTTGCCCAGGGTGAGGTAAAGCTGGAGATGAGGCTGGAATGTTGGACTCCAGGGGTGGATCTAAGATGATTCCCCAAGTATGCAGGAGGTACATTCCTTTATGGAGGGAGTTGATGGTGTGCGCATTGCCATTATGCGTGATCAGAAGGGTGGCTGGATGCCGCTATTTGTATGGAATCTTATGATTCTGAAGTAACCGAATTCAATAGTCGTCGGAGTTCTAAAGTATGTTTGGAGAGATCAGAAAACATCTAGAGATCCTCAAAAGGTGTAGGTAGTGCAGTCATGGATCTAACGGAAGAAAGCAATTGCTCTTTTGTCTGGAAGAAATGCACCCTTATTAATACAACTCTAGGTATCCAGTCCGCTAAATACAGTGCTTTAAGAATGCGGTAAATACAGTCACTCGTGCGTTCAATGGGTGCAGCATCAGGGAGAATGATGGACATCAAAATTGCGAGCATATGCGTGTCAATCAGATTGAAGTATGGATTCTGATATTCCCCTCAGTTTGACGTTGCTACACCTGGACCTGTGTTCAAGGTCCGCGAGTTTAGCCATAAACGTGAATTGTCGTCCTTAGTTTCTTCATATGCGTCTATTAGGTCATTAATGGTTTCTATACATTCACCCATTTTATTCTCTACATATTGCATTCTCCAATGTTATTTAAATCAGATGAAAATTTGCAGAAAAGAGAAGAGAATTCTGAGATTAATGAGGATTGTAGGGAAATTACAGGCTGACCTGAGGTAGGGAAAGCGACTATAGATGAGTGTAAGGCTGAATGGGAATATGAAGGGTTAAGCTCCTGGTATTGTGCTGTTGAGGCTGATGCATCTGAGGAAGGGGACTCTAGCCTCATGCGGGCTTTTGCTGGGCTGCAAGAGCCTGGGTTGTGTGCATTAAACTGCCTGGAGGAAGGCTGTGTACCTGGCACTGCAGAGGTTTCCTGGTTGGCATCTGGGAGATCAGTGTAGGAGGTAGCAGCGGTAGCAGAGGAAGCAGCGGCGCCATCTTGGCTGCATTCTTGTCTATCTGCTGTCTGCAGGAAGAACTCCGTGAGCTGCATTCTTCCTTCCTTTTCCTAAACATCACTGCTCAGTGCCGTTCTGGAGTCACTGCAGTCAGGAAGAGGACCGGGATGTATGTGAGAGGCTGTCAGTCGCGGGTGTAATCCCTCTGTGCGGCGGAGCTCAAGGCTTAGGCTGCCATCTTCGTTGCTGGAAAGCCACGCCCCCCACAATTTTTTTCTTTAAAAATACATTTTAGTGAATTCAAAAAAAAAGTATACCTTTTTTTTTGTAAAATATGAA